CCTATAGTGCATGAATCAGCAATGGCGTTGGAAGCATTTCCCTGAAGGAGTAATAAACCAGACGAGGCAATTGTAGCGAATTTGAAGCTCTGTAAACAGATAAAAAGGCCAAAATAACCGTGAATGCAAGATCAGTCCATGGCCAGGCGCATCCCCTCAGGAACAGGTCAGGTAGGGATACACCCGCCAGTGCCACAAGAACAACCCTAAGCAGTGGTTTCGTTTACTATGGGATGCCTGAACAATGGTTATGCTCAGCGAATGGCGACCAGTTGTGAGAAGAGCAACTGGTTCACCTTTGGTCCATGCAGATTGAGAACATTCAGCGAAATCCTGACAGTCAGCTAATGTAGTCAAGGTCGAAGCTCTAGGTCTCACATCTTCTGATTCGATATCATGTCACAGTGGTAAACAAACAAGTATATGAAAAGTAAAAGTAGTTGGTATACCTGTCTTTCAATCAAGCATATTGACGTTGACTTGGAAGCTGTTGTGGGGAAAAGAGTGGAAGGAGGAGCTTGGTGATGCTTCACTGTTCCACATCTGCTCAATGTTTTGTCTCTTCCACGTGCTGCGTCAAACGCGAGTCTTCCGGCTTCTACACGCTTGCAAAACAGGCCGGAGCATCTCGTCTAAGGTATATGACTTCTACCCCGCCATCTCAATGAAAACCGACATCTCAACGATAAAATTTCTCAACAATAAACTATCACAAAGAAATAGGCAACCTTCCTGTTCTAATTTACTAATAAAATATATAGAAATGGTAACTACTAGGTTTTATCTGTCTTTCGCACCTTTCTTTGCTTTCGAATAATTATTCCTTTCGCTAGGCAGTACTCTTGAAGTTCCGCCATCACCTTCTTCCACTGCGGCCGTAGTCGATTCTTCTCTACTAACTCATCATATTCTTGCTTCACCTGTTTGATGCGGTTGACCTCTTCCTTCCGTACTATTCCACCTGTACGTAGATGGGCTCTGGAAGCCTGCGCACGGCGTTGACGTGCCTGTTTTGCAGCATCAGATTGGGCCACCCGTTCGGTAAGCTCATCTACTAGAATAGCCTGCGCTTTTGAGGCTTGTACAAGCTTCAAAAGGCAGGTACGGAAAGCTTCTTCCTCCTCTAGCTCTAGTTGAAGCATATGACGACCGAATCTATCGAATTGACGCACCGTTTTAGGTGTGTTGGTGATAGAAAAGGAGGATTGGCTTGTCTCCTCATCTGCAAAAAGTTCACTATCCTGTAGCCTCCCAATGGCGACAGATGGCTTCCAGGGATTGATGCCAGTCAAGCTAAAAGCATGCCTTAAGGTACGAGGTTTGAAAGTTTTGCGTCGTATCTCGAAGAGAGCGGATAAGAATTCCACCTTCGTAAACTTTCCGCATCCCGTCTGCGTAGCATCCTGGATAGCTTCACTATGCCAGTGCTTATACGCATGGAATACACCAACATCAAGTGGTTGAAGGAGATGGCTTGTATGCGGAGGAAGGAAGTATAAGATAATATCATGCTTCTCACAGAATTCAATGACTTCGTAGGTCATATGGGAACCATATCCGTCGCAGAGAAGTAGGCGTTTTAAGCCTACCATTCGACGCCGCGTGTGACGCTCAAAATGTTGAATCCATTGGTATGCAAGGAGATCATTGATATATCCAGATTCTGATATACCAATTGTATAGTCAGGCTCATCGCATACCTCAAACCATCCAGCTAGTATGCACTTGCCTCCAAAGATGATAAAAGGTGGGATGAAATGACCATCTGCACTAATTGCTTCCACAACGGTTGCATATTCTCGATTGGTGTTACTAGGAGAGAAAGGAGTCTTCTTAAACTCCCTAGTAACGATCCATTGATCTTTACCGATTCCAATCTGGAAGCCAGTCTCATCAAAGTTGTATAGATCTCGGGGATGGATACAGTTTCTATCCATCAACCCTCTGAGATTATGGAACCATGATTCGATAACCCAGGGCTCGTGTGCTTGCTTCCGTTCAACCTCAATAGCTCTTTGCCTTCTAACTCGATATTCTGGATGCCGTTCAAGGAAGCGTTTCGTCCACTTTTCACCAATCTGAGGAGGAGGGGTTGTTGGATCGGTATGTCCGCGACGGAGTATAGAATTTGCTGCATTACCAATCTGCTGCGGCCGCGGAGGGATATCCAACTTGATAAGCTTGTCAATATACTGCCTAAGAGCCATCTCCTGCGCGGCAGTAAGCTTTGTATTGGTTGGGGCTCTATCTGAACGTGATGGTATCCCATTCCAGCGGCGTCGAAGCCGCTGCATTGGGACATTAAACTCTCGCGCAGTTTTAGAAAAATTAGGTTTTTTCTGGCGTTTTAATGCGCGCATGGCTTCCTCAATTCGATCTTCTATATCATAATATGATTCCGGCATGGTGGTGTTGATAAATGATATAAATTCTAAGAAGCATACGATTTTGAGAAATTTTATCGTTGAGATGTCGGTTTTCATTGAGATGGCGGGGT